CATAATTGTTGGATGCTTAAAACACCATGGGAGCAAGGCTATTTATAGCCAAAATGTCATCACACTGTTTGTGAACTTGGAGACCACGCATGGGGAAGCTTGCAGAATACACTCCTTGGCTGCCAAGAATAATGAAGTAATTGGTGATGCAAATTGATGATGCAATGGCTGACATCAGAATTGAGCCACAAAAGTTAACAAATCTCCACATTGGCGAAAATTTAAATGAGCCACTGTATCTCTGCAAAACAAACAGTCTTCTCCACTAAGCCCCTAAGGGCAATTTCAACATTTGAGAATACCAACCAAGTCCAAGCAATGCTCGAACTTGAGAGTCGAAATGGACTTTGTCATCATATCCACCGGATTTTTAACTGTGCCAATTTTCTTCAATGTAGTTATTCCTTCTGATATGACATCCCGAATAAAATGATATCTGACATCAATGTGTTTGGTTCTCTCGTGATACATTTAATTTTTGGTCAAATATATCGTACTCTGACTGTCACAATAAATAACAATTAAGCTCTATTGCAAACCCAAAACACTAACCAAACCTCTCAACCAAATGGCTTCCTTCACTACTTCAGTGCTTGCCATATATTCTGCTTCTGTAGTAAAGAGAGTAACTGTAGATTACAAAGTTGCTTTCCAACTAACTGCACAACCTGAGAGAGTAAAGACGTATGTAATACCCCTAATTTCAAAAGGATAGTACTGGTATTTAATTTATTGGTTAAATTGCATTTTTAATTGTTGACGTGCATATGTGTTAATTGAATTGATTTAATTGCATTTGATAATTTAATTGTTTTAATTTAATTGATTTAATTGCTTTAATTGAATTTAATTGTTTAATTGTTTTACTCTAGTTATTTTAATTGAATTAATTTACTTAAATTTAATGGTTTAATTGTTTTAATTTAATTGTTTAAATTGAATTGATTTAATTACATTTAATTATGCTTTCAACGTGACTGTTTAGATGGTTGTACACAGATAGCATACATTAGGTTTATAGTTCACAGCCGACATTAAATATAACCTAGGTTATTCTATAGGCCAAGTAAATTAGATTAGGGTTTAGTTGAGCCTAGGATTAGTGTGGCCTATAAATATTCACCTAAGATGTCTGCCTAGGGTTTTAGAACAATACTACGACATAGCAAGGCTGAGAGAAGTTTTGGAGACGGTTGGGAAGAAAACATAGTACATATTCATTCATTTCTCAAGCACAAAGTAAAAAAAGTGATTAAAAATTAACAAAAAACGAGGTTATTTTGAATCCACAAGATAAATTACATTGAACCTACACAGAGAAAAAAAAAAAAATCACATGAATCACATGGAATTATGAAACATTATTGATAAAAAATTATATTTCTTTCAAAGAAAAAAAAAATTTACATAGAATTATGATATTCTTTTGGACAAGAAACTGTCCCACCAGAAAATGCAAGAAAGGTGCCACAAGAATGCTCGTCCGCCTCATTTTAGAAGTAACGTTACTTGGACTTGGATTCGTATATGTAGTAAGGTGGAGAGAAAAGAAAGATGGAAATTATATTTTGGTCTTAAAATATGAAAATTTTTAGTAAACAAATGTCATTGTAAAGGTTATCAAGGTCATTTTAGATGTAGCATTAGTGTAATTAGGCCGTAACATTAATTTTTTATTTTTATTTTTTTCCAGCGTATGATGCCTTCGATTATATGCTGATGGATTGGCATCATTATACATGCAATAAAATAAATTAGTAAAGTAGAATTGAAAAAATAATAATTTCTTTATAATTTGTTGTCTTCTGATTTCCCTTTTAATTTTTTAAAATTTATAATATATATTTATCATTTTAATGATTTTATTTTATTATTTTCTTTAAATGTACTGCAGGACCGAAATGAAATCCTGCTCCAGTTCTTGACTTGAAATGACTTATTACTATACCAGTCAGATCATAATTGAGTAATTAGGTAAGTTAACATTCAATCATTCAATTCAAATATTTAAATTATTGAATAGGTTAACAATACATATTCATGTATTTCTTCATGCACAAAGTAGCAAAGTGATTAAAAGTTGACAATAAACGGGGTTATCTTGAATCCACAACATAGGATACATGGAATCACAGAGAAGAAAAAATATTCACATGAATCACATAGAATTATGAAATATTATTGATAAAAAATTATATTTTTTTTCAAAAAAAAAAATTTACATAAAATTATGAAATATAATTCATAAAAAGCTATATTTTTCTCTTGCATTACACATATTTTTATAATATATATAAAAAAAAAACTTTAATATTAAAAATAAAACTAATTGTTTAAGTAAACTAAAAACACAAGGAAATTTAATATAAGAAAACTAAAAATATAAAACAATTATCTAAACAAATTTAAAATAAAAATAAATAAATAAACCTAATTAAAAATTATACTAAAATCTGCCAAACATCAATCCATCAATCCAAGTCGAATGTGGTACACCACTGGAGGGATTATTTTTTCCGCAATTATTGGTAAATTTCGTTTGCAAGAAGCTTCAGTTGGTGGATGCCACCTGTATAAGTTTCTTCCCTTTTCCTCCCTTTTTTTTCTACCATTTCAGACTTTACCCTCTTTAACTATCTTGCTCACTACAATCGGTCTTCTTCAATTTACACCATGATTGCAAGTTCAAAGAATTATTGCAAAGAATAAGTCTTGTCCCATGTCAAATTCGAATATAAAGTAAAATTAATACATATATATTAGATGTTAACTCCACCTAACAACTAAAACTTTTGAATCAAGACAGTAAAATCAAGTAAGAAACTGTAAATGAATGTCCTGATACAACCCAACAAGATTCAATTGTTAATCTTTTGAAAAATGAAAAGAAAGGAAGAAAAAGGGGGGCATCCATCTCCTTAGTCAAAATATGCATCTATTAATCCGCCATAGGGTCAAGAAACTGTCCCACCAGAAATTGCAAGGAAGTTGCCACCTTATATGCTTCTTTCCTTTAATTTCCTCCCTTCTTTTCTACCATTTCAGACTTGCAACTTCCTAATCTTTAATGCTGATGTTCACTTGGACTGTCAAGAAACCGTCCCACTAGAAATTGCAAGGAAGCTTCGTTTGGGGATGCCACCTGTATATAGGGATGCAATTTAGGTTAGGTAACCCAAACTCAATTCAAGCCCGGATCGATTTTTTACGGGCTTGGGCAATCATTTTTATAATTCGGGTTGGGTTTAGGTTAAAAAATCTCAATCCGAATTTAATTAGATTTGGACTTGGGTTGAAGCTACCCGAACCCGAATTATAATATTACTTTTTTCTTTTCAACTTTTTTTTGTTAAATCTAAACTTATTGTATGTTAACATTCAGGAGAATTAATTTTCTAAAAATTTGTTTGTAATTTATTAAAAATCTACAAAAGTCTTTAAACTTCTTCTTGTTTAAGAATATTTTAATCTAAAACTAATTCAAGATCATATTAAATTTTCGGTATAAAGATTAATCATTTGAGTAAACCGAATTAACCCAAAGTTTTAATCCGGAATTACAAGGAAGCTTCGTTTGGTGGATGCCACCGGTATATGCTTCTTTCCTTTATTTAGTGTGCATGCAATGTCATTGGTATACTCAGTCAATGACAATGCATCATTTCATAAAAAATTGGTCTACCATATACCATGTATCCCATGGGTATTGTACCATTAGGTTTCGAATGGTTGGATGCGATAGTAAAACCCACTTGATTGATGATCCAACGACTGAAAGATTTCAGAATATAGTATTTTGAGGGTATTGTAGACTTTCTCGTAAGGCGCAAAGAAAAGTAAGATGGAAATAGTATTTTGGTAAATAAATGAAATTGTAAAGGTTATCAAAGTCATTTCAGATGGAGGGAAGGCATTTTTATTGGATGACACTTATTCTTTTAGATGAAATGTGTTAACAAGTGAGTAAAGTTTAGGAGGATTAGGTGTAAATGTTTTGAAAAGTTTCATTTGATATTGTGTTGGAGTACCGAATAATCATAAACATAGCATGAGTGTAAGTAGGCGGAAGCATTTAAACCTTGTTTTTTGGGTCCAACACATATATTGCCTTAGATTCATGCTGAGATTTGGCATCAATTATACATGCAATAAAATAAATTTGTAAATTAGAATTGAAAAAATAATTATTTTGTTATAATTTATTTTCTTCTGATTCTCCTCTAATTTTAAAAAAATTATATTATACAGTATTTATCATGTTAATGATTTTATTTTATCATTTTCATTAAATATATAAACTCAGGACCGAAATAAAATCGGTTGCAGCAGCGCTTGCTTACAAGGACTTTTTTGCAATGAGTCTTCTTCTTGGACCCCACTTGCACCAATTCTTAATGGTGCATCTCCCGCATCAATTTTTACATTTGAATGTCAGGTACAAAGGACTCGTGAGCATTATCGGGTAGCCAAGGAGCAAGTGGCCCAAATTCAAGCACTGCGAGTTCGGATAGAGAGATTGTCACAAGAAACTTTGGTCCCCTATCAGATTCAAATAAAATTGTAAAATTGGTATGTATAGAATGACCGTTAATTTTACCTAACAACTTAAACTTTTGAGTCGAATAAAAAAAAAAAAAAAAAAAAAACGAATGTCGTAAGTGTAGACCCTACAGTTCAAATGTTTTACTTAATAGCTTATTCGAAAGAAAAGAAAGATCCAAATCTCTTCTTAGCAGCTTCTTGGAATTGTTAATCTTTTGGAAAATGAAGAAAAATGGGAACATCCATCTTTAACGCAGATTTTCACTTGGACCAGTGAGGCATAGTGTCAAGAAACTGCCCCACCAGAAATTGCAAGAAAGATGCCACCTTTATATGCTTCTTTCCTATAAATTCCGGACTTTACCCTTTTTAATTATATCTCTCTCTCTCTTCTTGAATCAACAAAACAATCTCAATAATATTTCTGTGAATCAATCAATCATCTAATACAGGTAACATTCTTGTACCTTTCAAGCTAACTACATCAAGTTAATAAGTTTTTTAGCTTTTTTTTATTATTTTGGTTTATATGATTTGAAAGATCCCAGTACCAGAAACACCAATAAGATTTCTTTCTATTTTTTTTTTTTAATTTATTTATCATACATAGGATTGATTGTTCAAAATCATAAATCAATTGAACTTATATAATTCTGTTTCTTGTTTTGGATGTAGAATATGTTGACCTCAAACGATTGAGATAAAATTTTGTTGGATTATTGAATTTAGCTACATAATTTGTGAAGCCAATTTAAAGCATTTGTATTTGTCTTGCACTTTTTGTTATGCGTTTTCCATTTAACCCTTGCCTTGTGTATACTTTATTAAACTGTTTTTTTTTTTTTTTGGGTAGCATTTTGCTTATGCAGGAGATATATAGGATTTAATTAATTTTGCTTATTTCAAATTTTCAGTATATAAATATTGTTTTTTATTTATTTATTGACATCTTATATATACAAATATTGGATGTATTGTGATTACACGGATTGTGTATAGCACCGGTCAATTGATCTCCTTATTCTTTGTTTGATGGCTGCTACGGATCTCAATAAGCCTCCTCAACTTGATACTCTTATCATATTTTCTTAAGTTTTCGAGATAAAGACACTAGGACTACCTTTTTCGATCACCTATTGGCTTCTTGGAAAGGAAAGAAAAGAAAATTCCAAATCTCTTCTTCGAATTGTTAATCAATTTATACCTATAAGTTAATTACAGCCAACGTCTTTTAGCTTTTTTATTTTGCTTTATATATACAAATATTGGTTGCGCTGTGATCATAAATATTTTGTACAGCACTTGTTCACCTCACCCTGGTAAGTCCTCATCTTCATCTCGTGAGAATCTCTGTTTTACAGTACTACATATATATACACCTGGCTTTCTTTCTTTTTTTAAAAAAAAAATCTTACTGTATTTGTTTTTTTATCCCATTTCTCTGGATTTATATGAGTCTAGTGTTTCTAATTAAGCTTTCTCTTCTGCTTGGAAAATCTGTACAATTTTAATTACTTTAAGTATCAGTTGTACCATTTATTAGCTATAACTGTTTGCCTAAATCCATATATATATAATGGGAAGTTGTTCCATTTTATGCGGTGATCATCAGCCATTACCGAATTGGTAGAGCACCCAGCTCTCCGAGTGAGTGTGCCCGTGTTAATTAGAGTTGCCCCTTTCCCTAGTTTGCTAGAAAAAAACAAAAACTTATCATCAATGTGATGACCTTGTGGGCGGGTGCAAGAGACACTGACAGGCTACCATACTGACAAGCTAAGAGTGCACAGTCCCACATCACTTGGGAAGAGGAAAGGTGAAGTGCTTATATGTAGATGTGTCACTCCAATTGGTGTGAGGCCTTTGGTATGAAGCCCAAGAACAAAACCGTGCGGGCTCAGGTTCATGGAGTGGGTGATTACAATCAATCTCCTACTAAGCTAGTAAAAAAAACTAAAACCAACCTATGTAGATGATAATTATATTAAAATTTAAATAAGAATATTTTTTTTCTTTTTTATAATTATAAAAGAAACTGAAGTTTTCATTCCATATGATATATTGTACATTAATTTGACAATTGTGATAATAAAGTTTTTCTAAGAGAGATAATAAACTATTAGCAAAAATATATAGGGATTTTTTTTTTTTTTTTTTTGAAAAGATGAGAAAATTTTTGAAAGTGGGTTAAATATAGTTGATGTGTGCATAACACTTTGTACTATAAGATTATTAGCATACACACACCCTTATGTATTTTTGAAAGAGTAAAATAGCAAAACGGGTATTACATTATTATTTTATGTCAAAGTTTTGATTGAAGGGTGTTTTCGTACAATTTTAAAAGAATATAAGAATATGAGTGTTTTTGTACACTTTTTTAAGTAAGAATAAAAGTGCTGCTCAAAGTACACACATTAAGAATATTTTCTGTAGAATAAAAAATCTATTGAAGGACAATTGTTTGGTTATCAAAATCCTTTCCCACCAACGCGTTTTCATAAAAGAGACTTTAGACTAAAAACTCTTATTTCCTTATCATTCCATATTAGCTTCCGCTACTTCCCCAGCTCTATTTTTTTTTCGTCATCAAAATCCTATCCTACCAAGGGTCCATTAGTATTGATGGTTTAATAAATAAAAAAAAACATTTTTATCACTAACGGAATAAAATATTCTACTTATTAATGACTTCTTTGAAAGAAAAGAAAATTTCAAATCCCTTCTCAGCGGGCCAGCGGCTTCTTCGAATACATATTATACCCGACTGCAAGAAGAGTATTGTGAGTTTGGATAGAGGGATTGTTACAAGAAAGCCTTGTCCAACATCATATCCGGATAAGAATGTAAAATTAGTATGTATAAATTAGTATGTATAGGTTGGGTGTTAACTCCACTTAATAACTTAAACTTAAACTTTGAGTTGGATCGTAAAACCTAAGAAGAAAACTGTAATCAAATGTCCTGGATACAGACCCAACGGTTCAAATATTTTACTTATTATTGATTTCTTCGAAAGAAAAGAAAAATCCAAATCTCTTCTCAGCGGCTTCTTCGAATTGTTAATCTTTTGGAAAATGAAGAAAAGGGGGGACATCCATCTCGCTAGTAATTGTATATGCTTCTTTCCTTTTCCTCCCTTGCAACTTCCTCATCTTTAATGCTGATGTTCACTTGGTCTTAAAATATGAGAATTTTTGGTAAATAAATGTCATTGTAAAGGTTATCAAAGTCATTTCAGATGGAGGGAAGGCATTTTGATTGGATGACACTTTTTTTTAAGATGAAATGTGTAATAGTAACAAGTGAGTAGAGTTTTGGAGAATTAGGTGTAAATTTTTTGAAAAGCTTCATTTGATATTGTGTTTGGAGTACCGAATAATCATAAACATAGTATGAGGCGGAAGCATTTAAACCTTTATTTTTTTGGTCCAGCACATTTGTTGCCTTAGATTCATGCTGAGATTTGGCATCAATTATACATGCAATAAAATAAATTAGTAAATTAGAATTGAAAAAATAATAATTTACTTATGTCCTATATAGAGACCCGACAGACCGTTCAAATGTTTTACTTTGTAGCTTCTTCCAAAGAAAAGAAAAATCCATCTTTAACGTAGATTTTCACTTGGACCAGTGAGGCACAGGGTCAAGAAACTGCCCCACCAGAAATTGCAAGGAAGATGCCACCCGTAAATGCTTCTTTCCTATAAATTCCTCCCTTTTTTTAAACAATTTCAGACTTTACCCTCTTTAATTATATGTCTCTCTCTTTCTATTCTTGAATCAGCAAAACAATCTCAACAATCTTTCTGTGAATCGATCAATCATCTAACACAGGTAACATTCTTGTATCTTTCAAGTTAACTACATCAAGTTAATTAGTCTTTTAGCTTTTTTTTATTTTGGTTTATATGATTTGAAATAACTAAGTACCAGAAACACCAATAAGATTTCTTTCTTCTTTTAATCTATTTATTATTCATACGATTGATTGCTCAAAATCATAAATGAATTGAACTTATATAATTCTGTTTTTTGTTTTGGATGTAGCAGATGTTGACCTCAAATGATTGAGATACAATTTTATTGGATTATTGAGTTTAGCTACGGTGTTTTCCATTTAACCCTTGCCTTATGTATAATTTATTAAACTATTTTTTTTTTTTTTTTTTGGCTTATGTAGGAAATATATAGGATTTAATTAATTTTGCTAATTTCAGATTTTCAGATTTAATATTGTTTTTTATTTATTTATTAACATATAATATATACAAATTTTGGATGTATTGTGATTACACAGATTGTGTATAGCATCTGTTAATTGATATCCTTGTTCTTTGTTCGATGGCTGCTACGGGATCTCAAGAAGCCTCCTCAACTCCGAGTCCTTATCATGTTTTCTTAAGTTTTCGAGGCAAAGACACTCGGACAACATTTTCCAATCACCTACATACAACTCTATTAAATGCAGGAATACGCACATTTAGGGATGATGATGAACTTGGGAGAGGAGATCATATCGCCTCAGAACTGATAAAGGCAATCGATGAATCAAGGATTTTAATAATTGTCTTCTCAAAAGACTATGCATCTTCAACATGGTGCCTCAATGAACTTGTAAGGATGCTTGAACCAAGGAGGAGTGTTGGTCATATGATTGTACCCGTGTTCTACCATGTGGAGCCATCTGATCTAAGGTGGCTAGAGGGAACTTTTGGAGATTCATTTGCAAAACACGAAGCAAGATTGAAGTCGAAGTCCGATGAAGAAAAAGAGGAGGGAATGGTTAGGATAAGAAGCTGGAGGAAAGCTTTGGAAGAAGTTGCAGATTTGTCAGCGCATGTGTTGGGAAACGATGAGTTAGCTCCTTCCTCCTTTCTTTGAGTGAATTTGAATTTAGTCCTACAATATTTCATATACAATTAGGAACCACTCTTTTTACAAGCCTATAATGTTAGTTAGCCATTAAAAGGAGGTCCAAGGTCGGCAAACCAGCCTGGCCTAATAAACTAATAGGATCGGGTAGGCCTGGGCTTAGGTTTTAATATTAGGCCAAGCCCAATTATTAGCCCAACTCAACTGGTGCCAGTTTTGGGTCTATTATGTCTTCTTAGGCCATGAAATAAGAATCCCGACTTCCAAAACCCATTTGGCCAGTTTTGGGTCTATTATGGCTTTTTTGGAGGTTGCCAAACAGTCCCGTTTACACGGCCTGAAAGATATATGTGTGTGTGTGTGTGTGTGTGTATAATATATTTTTTAAGGTTTTCATAACAGTTTCCTCATAATTGGAAAACCTATAGGAGGGGTCCAATTTCTTAATTTTGATCAGTATAAATGAACAAACACTATAGCCTCTTCTTTTTAAATAAGCACTATCAATTGATGTAACATCAAGAGGGTTGCTTAGTGGCAAAGACTCTCAATTCATATCTTGGAGGTCGAGAATTACTGGTAATGGCAGAGATGTGATTGATTAATCTTGCCTTCACAACATTTGATGATGTGCTTTTATAACCTATTAGATGTCCCTAGAATCGTTTCTTTGCAACAAATAAAACTAATGTCCTTAAAACTTTCTTCATTTTTTAATATGAACATTGTGGGGGTCACATGATAACATTAAGTATATTGATAAGTGATTAGTAACATTATATATGCTTTAGTACATAACAATGCTAACTTATTATTCCAATATATTTATGTATATATATAATCCATAATAGTAGTTAAATAATTCTATTTATATATATATATATTAGTCCTGGATTACGCAAAAACAAAAAGGCCCAAAATCAGCCCCTATTTCAGCCCAAATTGAACTTTATTGCAAGCTTGAGCCTGGCCAATTTAAGCCCAATAGCCCAATTTTCCTTCCACAACTGCTTGCGCCTGGCTTGGTTGAAGAAAGGGCTAATCCCTAATAATTTTTAAGAGACCAATGCAAAAAAATATATGCTGTGACTTAAACCCTTATTAAGCAAAGGCAATTTAGGAAAAATGGCATCAATAACTTCAACTTGGTTGTTTTAAATGAATAAAAGCACTTTGAAAGAATAAAGATAAAATTTAAAAAAAAAAAAGAAGAAGAAGAAAAGAGTCCGAGAATAGATGAAGCTTTAAGAATGAAGCATGGCCAGGGTTGTGAACCATAAGAGACCCTCATTATGAAATTGCTTTCTCAAGTTGGATTTGAAATTTTTGCTAACATTATTGCAATTTGCGACAATTTTCTTTGTTTGGTGCATTTTTAACAAATTATTGATTGTGTAATTATATTAATTCAATATTGTCATAAATATTCAACATTTTCCATGAAAATATATATATTTGTGTGGTAGTGACCACACTGAAAGCATGAAATTATTATTATGTTTGCATTCTCATTAAATTTTTTAATTCATTTCAACTTAATAATGACATGTTACCTTTTTCTATTTCCATCGCAATTTGTAGGTACGAGTCACATTTTATTCAAAAAGTCATTAAAGATATTGGAAACAAATTGGGTCGTCGCACAATTTTAAGTGTTTGTCGGTATCCAATTGGATTGAACTCTCGTATAAAAAGAATTAATTTGTGGTTACAAGATAAATCAAGTAAAGCTAGCATAATGGCAATTTATGGGATGGGTGGCATTGGCAAGACAACCATTGCCAAAACTGTGTATAACCAAAACTTCCATAAATTTGACGGGAGCAGTTTTCTTGCAAATATGAGAGAAACATCAAAACAGCAAAATGGTTTGGTCGGTTTACAGAGAAAACATCTTTCAAATATTTTGAAGGGAAGCGAAGTAAAAATTAGCAATGTTCATGAAGGAAACAAAATGATCAAAGAAGCGCTTTCCTCCAGAAGAGTTTTACTTGTTCTCGATGATGTGGATCTAGTAGACCAATCAGCAGCAGTGCTCGCAATGCAATATTGGATTAAGCAGGGAAGCAAAATTATCATAACAAGTAGAAATGAGCAATTATTGGATGCACGTGAATTGTATGAGATTCACAGAGTTACGGAATTAAACTATGATGAATCACTGCAGCTCTTAAGTCAGCATGCGTTTGGACAATATCATCCTTTAGCTCTTGAAGCTTGCAAGGAGCACTCTGAAAGGGTTGTGAAGTATTGTGGGGGCCTTCCTTTAGTTCTTGAGGTTTTGGGTTCTTCTCTTTCTAAAAGAAGTGCAGATATTTGGGAAGATGCAATAAAGAAATTGGAAGCAGTTTCTGATTGTCAAATCATAGAAAAGCTCAAAATTAGTTTTGATTTGTTAGGAGACGACTGCGACCGAAAAATATTCCTCGACATTGCTTGTTTGTTTGTCGGAAAGAATAAAGATTTTATAATTACAGTTCTGGATGCTAGTGAACTCCACGGAAAAGTTGGAATCGACAACCTCATTAAAAGATGTCTATTAACTGATTGGTGTAACGTGCTGGGAATGCATCCTCTTCTACAAGAAATGGGAAGAGAAATAGTAGGCCCGCCGGAATCACCAACGGATCCATGGAAGGGCAGCAGGCTGTGGCGTCATGAAGATGCCTTGAATGTATTGAGAGAAAAAAAATGTAAGAACTGTGCTTTGCAAGTCTATTTGCATGTGTTTTGTTGCATGGTGTGCTTGCTTACTTTGTGAGTGCTCTTTATCAGGGAACAAAAGTCATTGAAGGTCTCATCCTCAACTTGCAGAGTGGCCAAGGCTTCTCTTCATCGAAGAAGCGGCGTCGACTAAGCTCTTCCTCTTGGATCCCTGGAACTTCTGCCTGGACAGAGTCATCTTCCACATCAAATGAAGTAGACTTACAAACTGATGCATTTTCAAGCATGCACAACCTTAGACTGCTCCAGCTCAATAATGTAAGGCTCACTGGAAATTACGTACAATTTCCTAAGAAGTTGAGATGGTTGTGTTGGCATGGGTTCTCTTTGGAAAATATACCAAGTGAGTTTTCTTTGGAGAGCTTAGTTATTCTTGAGATGAAATATAGCAGCTTGACAGAAGTTTGGAAGGAAAAAAAGGTATTATATTAAGTTCTTTTTTAATCCTTCCTTTTTTCTTTTTTTTTTCTCTTTTCTTTCGTCTTTCTTTGGCAATTCATATAAGCTAGCTAAAATCTTTTTTTTTTTTATGACAATCGCTCAAATCATTGAAAATCCTCGATCTTAGCCATTCCCATAGCCTTACAGAGACACCTGACTTCTCAAATGTTCCTAATCTTGAGAGCTTGATTCTTGAAGATTGCATAACATTGATGAAGGTTCATGAATCCATTGGGGAATTAAAGAGACTTGTTCTGTTAAATGTAAAAGACTGCAAGAATCTTAGGAATCTTCCCACAAAAATTGGTCAGCTAAAATTGCTTAAGAATTTCATTCTTACTGGTTGCTCAAAGCTTGTCGAGTTGCCCAAAGAGATGCGCGAGATGGAATCTTTAAAGTACTTTAATGCAACTGCAATAAATCAACTACCCTCTACCAGCAATGGCATAATCTCTCGGCTTTTTAGACTAAGAAAACCTTCGGAATCAATATTGGATTGCTTGCCGTGCTCATTAGTGAGTTTGAATCTTGCAAACTGCAATCTTAGGAATCTTCCAAGGGATCTTGGTAGGCTATCCGTATTGGAGGACTTGGCTCTATCAGGAAATCCGATCTGTAGCCTTCCAGAGAGCATCAAGTGTCTCACCATGCTCCAGTTTCTTAATTTAAGGGAATGCACAAAACTCCAATTGCTTCCAGAGAGCATCAAGTGTCTCACCATGCTCCAGTCTCTTCATTTAAGGGAATGCACAAAACTCCAATTGCTTCCAGAGCTACCAATGAGTTTAAAAATGTTGGATATAAACCGATGCAGGTCACTGGAAATAATAACAAATCTACCCAATGGGTGTAAACTGGATTTGTATGCATATGATTGTGAGACAGTAGTTGAGGTAAAGAAATTGTTCAGGTTGGAACCTATTCGAAACATAGATACAGAAATGATCAAGAATTTGGAGTTGATTGAGTTGGAATCCATGGAAGAGGTTGAGGTGAATTTGCTCAATAAGCTGACAAATTATCACATGATTTGTCCCATCCAGGTGCTCTCTCTCTCTCTCTCCTCATGTCGTAATTGAAGTTATGATTATCATGGAACAGGGACTGTATGAATTCGGTATATTCAGCATTTATCTTTCTGGAAATGAGGTTCCAGCCTGGTACAGCAGTAAGACTACAACATCCTCGATATGTTTCAATGTTCCTTCACTTCCTAATAATCTCAAGATCCGAGGCTTGAATGTATGCGTTGCTTATAATTTCCATGGTTTCACCGGCTTTTTGTATGAATATATAATGAGAACCTTCAATAAGACCAAAGATGTGAAGTGGACCTATTACCCAACCGTAACAGGGTTTCCAAATGAGGGGGAAAATATGATATGGGTAAGCCATTGGAAGCTTGGGAATCAGTTTGAAGCTGGTGATGAAGTGGCTGTGGATGTGGAATTTTTTGACGATTTGTGTTACGAATATGGAGTAAAGGAATTGGGAGTCCACATTGTGTATGAACAAGAAGAGGGGGAGAAGGATACCCAGCACAACACCTATACTTCTTTTCCTGATGATGTTTTTGATGGTGCAGATTCACCATCACGTGGTTACCACTTCATCATTTCCAAATTTTGTACTTATATGTCCAGCAAGGAGGTGGAGGAGGATGATGATGCATGATGTCTGTACAATCCACGAGTTTTATATGGAGTCAAGTGCAGGACTACATGGTTAAGGTGGTACTTTCTATTGAATTCTAATCCATTGAGTGATGTCAGCTGATGTTTGTTATCTATATAAAACTTGAATCACCCTCTATTTATTTATTTATTTATTTAAACGCTGAGAAAGTCCAATTAAACTTATAAGTCTTGATGGTGTTTTCATATTAGTTTTAGTTTGATCTCCTAATTATTTTTATTTTTTTTGATAATCTTCAAAATTATTAGCGTCATTTTAGAGTTTTTTTTTTTTTTTTTGTCATTTTCTTATGATTTTAATTTTCGCTATTATAAATACTTATTAGTATACGACAAGAGAACAATAATCATTAATTATTAATAGTATTTCATATTACTCTGCAATTTGGGTTTACTTTTTTACTTTAAAAATTTATTACAATGTAACTTCCACTTCGCAATTCAATTGAATGCTAAGAAGAGACAAAGGGTACTTTATTTGGAACTAAATTACTTTCCTACAAATTATATAGAAAAATATATTTTTGGAATAAGAGAAATTAATTTAGTTATTTCAAAATGAGAAGTCAAAACCTAACAAATTATCATTCAAAAGCCTAATGGATGCGAGTGTTGCGTTGCTTCAGTAATTGAGTTGCTGGAGTTCGTGTTCGGACTTTACACCCCTTCTAAGGGTCCGTTTGGAATGTGTTTTGTTTTAGTCGATTTATTTTTAGTTAAAAGAGAAACTGTGTTTTTTGTTGTAGGAATGTTTTAGAAAAAAAATCGAAAGCACGTTTGGGAACGATATTTTGTTAAAACAGAAATAGTGTTTTTGGTTATTGTTATAGTTTTGGGTTATGAACAGTTGTCAAAATAAGAAAAAATAATTTTTTGGTGTTTTAGTTTTGGACCACTTCACAAAGTGTTTTAGCACTATACTTTTGTTGCTAAAATCGACATTGTAGAGGTCAAAACTAAAAACAACAAAAACAAAACGCATGCCAAACGGGCAACATCGACACTGTAGAGGTCAAAACCAAAAACAACAAAAACAAAAAGCATGCCAAACAGGGCCTAAACATTCTTGCCATTTGAAAAAAAAAAAAAAACTAATGGACAAAATAATGGGTCATAAAGCCTTTCACTGATCAACAAGGAACAAACTAATCTCCATCTATTAGGCTTTCCTAAAAGCCCAAGCCCTGTTAATTGGGCTGGACTGAACCGATCAAAAAAGAATATCTGGAATGAAGTTGTTTCAGCCCAGTTTAAGGTTTGACCCTCAGCCCATTCCTTGCAACAAATTTTATGTTACCACAATATTAAAAATGAGGCATGGAGGTGCTATATCTATAATTCACCGTATCATCCGATATGCGATCGTTTTTCAAATCCGATACGTAATTCATATAGGCCAGTTGACATTTCTGGGATTCTTGCAAACAATGGGACATTCTCTCCTGCATTCACTCCTTGAAAATGTTATATCATTCATCTATACTTTTGGGAAGCATAAATATTTTTGCTATTGTATTCACTATTATGCATTTTTCTTTTTTATTTTTCTACTGTCTTGTTTCTTTCTTACTTTTGTCGCATTGAATATGATTTCGGAGGGGACACATCAAATAAAAAACATTTTTTTCAATGAGTGAGTGATATAGCCAGGAATTTATTTGGGAGGGACACATCAATTATGATTAAAAAAAGAGGGGTGCTAATCACAATCATCCCCGTGACCGTAGAATCTCAGTCGCTAGTTTAATGATTGACGCATGTATTTTTTTTTTTAATAATTAATTACTATTATTATGCTAACTTCTTTTTGGGTCTCTCATTATATATAATTACTATACTAGCCTCCTAACTGAGAAACCAGTGAAAAAAGTACTATAATCTGATTCTTTCTCTAAAATTATCTATTTTTTCAGATCTCTATTCTCTGTTTTGAAGTATTCGGTTGTTTTTTAAATAAAATCAGATGAAAAAAAAGTATAATCTGAAAAAAAAAATTATAGTTTTTTTTTTCTTTTATGATATTTTTTTTTTTTTTTTAATCTGAAAAATTAGAACAATACTTCAAATACAAAGAATACGGATCTGAAAAAATTCAGATTTGAACTTCAAACATTTAGATATGGACTTTTGTATAAAGAAAATTTTGGTGTTGGAACTTCAAACATTTAGATATGGAATTTTGTAAAAAATAAAATTTTAAAGTAAGATGGAACCGTGGAGGTTTCAGATTAAAAAAAAATAAAAAAAAAATCAGTGAAAAAAGTATTATCAATCCCTATTTTCTGTTTCGAAGTATTAGGTTGTTTTTCAAATAAAAAAAATAAAATCAAATAAAAAAAAAGTATAATCTGAAAAAAAAATTTATAGTACTTTTTTCTTTTTATTTTATGATAAATTTTTTTTTTTTAATATGAAAAATCATAGCAATACTTCGAATACAAAGAATACGGATCTGAAAAAATTCAGATTTGAACTTCAAACATTTAGATTTGTACTTTTGTTAAAAAAATAATAATAATAATAATAAAATTAGTGTTGGAACTTCAAACATATATGGAATTTTGTAAAAAAATAAAATTTTAAAGTGAGATGGAATTGTGGAGGTTTCTGAAGTTTCTCAGTTAGGAAGCTAGTATAATAATTATATATAATGAGAGACCCAAAAGAAGTTAGTATAAAAATAGTAATTAATTATTGAAAAAGAAAATACACGCGTCAATTACTAAACTAGCGACTGAGATTCCACGATTGTGATTAATACCCCTCTTAAAAAAATGGTAATAACTTATAGTGAGATAAAAAGTAAAAGTATAGCAACAGTCTACTTTAATATTCAAATAATGTCATTATTCAACTAAGCTAGTGATTTTCAAAGAGATGTCAGTGATTCGACTCTCAGTAGAAGCATAGAAGCAAGTGTGTGTAAGTACAATTAAGAAAAAAATAATAATGTCATTATTCAAAAATAATAATAATAATAATGTCATTATTCCAAAAATTATATATAATTCCACTAAAAAATCAAAAAACATAAAATATGGAAATTAAGTTCATAAAATCAGAAAAATAAATTTAAAGAAGATGGAAGATTAAAAAAAACAAAAAAGTTAGCTACAAATACATCATACATGAGTACAACAAGAATAAATTTTAGAAGAGCAAAAAAAAAGAAAAGAAAAAGAAAAGGGTAAGGGAAAGGGAAAACTTTGAAGGGGAAAAATTAAGGTTTGAATGAAGAAGGGGGAATGCAAATTGTTTTTAAGGGATGACTGAAATTTGGATAAGAAAAAGGGCAAGAGAGAGAAAAAGAAAGAAAGAAAGAAAGAAAAAAAAAAAAAAAAATAGACATTTTAAGGAAGAGCAAATTTTAGGGAGGCATTTCATAAAATTACGTACATAAAATAATAATAATTGAGGAGCCAGCTTGGGGCAATTGATTCCTGTGAGCCCAATGTGGCTTCATCATAGCTGTTAGATTAAAAGAACATCACGCGTGAGGGGGAAATAGTGTTAGAGATATAAATATTAAAGTTATGTGAAAATGACCAACAACTATACCCTGTCAAACTTTAAAAAATTTGAAGTTGCAGTAACATGACATTCATAAAAGGGGAAGTTTTCAATAACATGACCCTGTCCAGGTGCTCTCTCTCTTTCCCTCAATTCTTCTCCCCACCAAACAAAACATTAGTTACAGCTAACATGGAGCTTATCAAAGCTCATCTATCAAGAGTGTGAGAACCACTACAACTTTACATCTCCTGTTCAGATTATTGAGATGCCGTACTAGCACATAAAATTAAATTAGCTCCGAACAAGTCTGGAATAAAATTGAATTAAGTACAGGTCAACAATCATGGAGATATTACTACATTTGACTTGGCATATCACAAAGAAAATAGTCTACAATTAGTGACAACTTTGACATTTGCACATTTGCTACCACTGACAACTTTGAAGAACAGATTAACTTACAGAAGGGAAATAAAAAATTCAAACACCAGATTGTAGTCATTAATATGACAATGAAAATATACAAGACACGGTTACCAAAGCATAGATTGAAGAATGAGGTAGAGCAAAATGTATTTACAACAGCCAAAAGGACGGATGGGCATATTTGAGGATCTTTGCTAGAAGATAATCAGGGTTGAAGCATCCACCAGGCACCGACTTGCTAACATCATTAGCAGAAGCCAAAAAAAAAAAAACACATACATACATACCTATATATAAACTGTTTTTTCTTTTTAACGGTTCACGTATAAACTGTTCATAGTAGCCAATTGTTTCTATTGTAAATAAAATAGCTGAAAAACCACTCTGCTTTACCATACCAGAATGTTGAAGCTAAATGTTGAAGCAGCAATGGCTTTCCCATTTCACATTTTTCACTTTATTCAGGCTTTTTCCAATCACAGTGTCCTTGAGGGAAATGAAGCTTGGAATGTGAGCAATCACTTCAGCCTTCGGTAACTCCAGAGTCTTAAAATCTCTGAAAGTTCCTTTTTCAGGACTATATATAACAAGAGATTTGGAGCCGCATATAAGCCACAATTCTCCATTGTTGAGAAATTTAATTGGTTGATGCAAATCCTCTACTCGCAACCCACAATAGAACTTCGTGTCAATGACAAACTCCTTGATCCAAGATTCCTTGACCCCGTAATCCTTCATCACCCAAACCTCAAATTGAGCATCACTGAAAACATAGCAAATACAAAGCCATCCTCCCAGTGCCCCAACGTTGATCCAAGAAATTTTTGATGTGTAAGCTGTGTCAAAATGAGCAGGTGGTGGTACAGGTCGAAATTGCTCCGTCTCTAAGTCAAACGAACATATAAGATCAGAAGTTGTACGACTATCAGCAATCCAATGAAGAGCACCATTGAGAAGAGAATCAAATGATCCCTTAGCCTTTGGGCAAGGAGCATCCTTAATGCTTCTCCATGAGTCTGTTCCGAGCGTGTGTATCTCAGCCACTGTTTTACTCAAATTTTGTTCAAAATCTGTCGAACGCAGAAAACGAATGACCTTGTATTGGTTCGTCCTTGGACAGAAACCAAACCCAGAATGGTTGAGGTAATTACAAAATGGTGTTGATGGAATTCGGGAGGGGACAACCATATATTCACCAAGAATAGGATTGCAAATATAGTAAGAAGACTCCTTTGATGAATTACTGTATAAACAAAGCAAACCATTACAGGAACCCACTAGAGTCGCCTCACCATTGCGGAAACGTAATTCAGCATTTTTCTTGTTCAATGCGTGGCTGGGATGAAAACGATGAAGAGGATCATCAGTGCTGCAGGCGGTAGAGGTGGTTTCATCAAGGTTGAGCATGTATATGTAGAAAGAGATGCTGAAACTTTCTCGAATGATAAGGGCGGCAGTAGATGAATTAGTTAAGTGGACTTTGGCAAAATAAGGATCTGTGAGAAGTTTGAGAAACAATTTACAAACACATTTGCAACAAATTATCGTCTTCAGGGGGAGTCTTGAGAGTATGTCACATATTATGTGTACGGGAAGTTCCAGTATACAAAAATTAAGACCACGCAGCATTGCTGTTGTTTGAAACTGTTGTTGCTTCTTCATCCTTATGCCCGTCTCATTTAGTAGTTTACTTATGATGTGTTTTGCTCCTCTCTAGCATCACATGGCCACTGTCCCCTTGATGGCTCTGGAGTCCGGAATACAGATCAAAGGTAAACTGTTAGAAACATATACATACCCCAAGCTCAAGTTGGCAGCAGTCTAATATGAATTTGGTATTTTATACAAATCAGCATCAATATTGTCTGTTCATCATCACCCAAGATTTCTGAAACACTGGCATCAGTACATGTTCGCCCTTGCAGCATGTGAAGACACGCGGGAATATTTAAAACTTAACCATATCAATTAAACAACTACAACATACTTACGCTCCTTAGAAATTATCAAACTGTTGGAATAACGCGAACTCAAATAAGTAAAGTCATAAGAATGCTTATCTGCCTCATTTTAGAAGTTATGTTACATGGACTTGGATTTGTATATCGGGTATCAATATGTGTCCAAGCATCACATTATCAAATCTTCAATTCCGGGTACGCAAGGACACAGCAAAATATTCATACTTTTTAATACTCTTCTCTTATTTTCTAGGATTATAAAAATTAAAATAAAATAAAAACTTAAATTTTTTTAATATGCTTATTAGTTGCATGTCCACCACATATCCCATACCCAATAATGGTGTGCTCAATATGGGCAATTTACGCATTTAGAAGAATGAACTCACATGTAACATAGTTCGAAAGCAAGCACACATAATGGGGAAAATAAACAAGTAGAATCAGCATGTTGAAACATGGGCAGCTTGTAGAAGGATAAATATGCCTCTACTTTTGCAGTATCTTAATCTCAAAGTCCAAATAACATTCAATATTTGCTCCAATTCAGACGATATATGAATAATAAATGGTAAGAGAGGTGTTTACTTTTTCATTCGATTCATGCTACCTAAAGCGTCATAGGGGGAAATGGAAGCTAACGAGCAGTCCTGAAACAATAAAAGTTGGGATTTTGAGCATAACATCAAATACTGTAGGATAACCCATTTTGAACTAAGTTTCATCCAATTCCAGTTTTAAACGCAAAATATGTGCAAACATTTTAAGGTCACTTGGCACAATGGTAAGGTTGCTCACCGGTTCCCAGACCCTGCAAGGGCAATAATGGAGGTAACCTCGTGCATTGGGACTGCCTTTTTTTAAAATATATATATATATATATATATATGTTTTCCATCACGAGATCAATGTTCATGAAATGATAAAGAGATTAATACATACTCCGTACTTGATTAAGAATTTAAGACAACAATAAGCCTCTACCTATATGCACAATTAGATACATATAATACATATCAACATACCTATATAGATGGGCATATAGGTGTATAGATTCCACAAGTTATTCCACCCTAGCCATCATCCACGCCTGTAATTCGGCAACTCAAGCTTTGATCACTGTAAACCCTTTTTACAAGGACGAGAAATTACTAATTTTTTTATAATTCAAAATCTGATTCCACCTACCCACAAACCCCAATTATCAAAAAGTCGCATAATTCAACTAAATTGTAATGGGAATTCAGTTACTTCCAATCCAATTATCTGTCAAGGGTTCACATACATGTGTGTGTGCATGTATAAATATATAGTCATGTGTATTACCAAGAGATACATACATGCATATATAAGGAGAGAGAGTACCCTGAGCGAGGAGAGTGAAGCTGAAGCACCTTGTAGAGAGAGAGACTAGAGGAAGTATCCTCTTGTGTGTGTGTGTGTAATATATATATATATATATATATAGATATAAAGAGAGAGGGGGAACCGTGTAGAGAATGAAGACTTGGAAACGAAGTTTTGACTGAAGATGGACTGAAGCCTGAAAAAACAAGATGAAGTCCAAAACAGAGGCCCAATTTAGAATCTGAACTTGTAAACTTTAGGCTTGGTCAGAAAAATATATATGGGCTTAAATTCATCACTCAAGCCCATATTTGTGAATGATAATTTTGGAAAGAATGGTGCAGAGAAGTAAAGTTTTCAAAAAATTGAATCAAGCAGTTTTTTTTTAGAAAAAAGTTAGAACATAAAACTGTTTTCAGACAAATATAAAATATGTTGAAAGAAAGAGAGAGAGAAAATATAAAATATGTTGTTGAGGGAGTAATACAATAATATAGGAGAGAGTCTGAGGCGAGTTGCAAAAATTCAAGTTGATCCGTAGATCCAAGACAGTTATCCAAGATGAGTTGATCCGAAGATCTGAGACGAGTAGGGTATGATAAACCTGCTCTGATACCATGTTGAGAGAGAGAGAGAGAACGAGAATATATGAAATCGTATATGTTATTGAGTGAGTAATATAATAATACAATGATGTTTATATAGGAGAAGTTACGGGAGTTGATGAATGGAGAATAAGTAAACCTTATACATGATAACGAGGATATTGAAAATAAGTCCTATTTGTGTTCTTAAAAGATAGTTTTTGCAAAATTGGAGTTACAAAAGTGCAGTTTTTAGAAAACTACTAAAAGGTGTACTCCGTTTTTCTCAAAATTGTTCTCCTTTGTGTGAAAAAAAAAAAAAATAAAATAAAAAAAATAAATAAATAAATAAATAAATAAATAAATAAATAAAAATCCACGATTAGTCACCAAAAATAATTGAGATTTTATCTTTTAAAGGGTAACAAAAAAAATCGTATTTAGTAAAATATTTATAATATTTTTCTAATGCAATCCTCTTGCTAATAATGGTCTATTGGAAGTTGGGCAATATTTATTATTTTTGGTAAGTAATTAATTTGAAAACTGGAATAATGAAAAGAATTTTGTAAAAATAATGTCTGTGTATAAAACTGAAAACAATTTTCAGAAAACAATAAAAGACAAATCTTTGAAAATAGCTATTCAATCGAAAATAGAAAACTGTATAAAAATAAAAAAATAAAATAAACTGCTTGGTTCAATTTTTTGAAAATTATTTTCTAAAAACTCATTCTGGTTTTTAACTCTGAAAATAGTTCTCAAGAATTTAAATAACAAAAAACAGTTTTTAAATAACTATAAAAGACAGTTTATTGAAAACAAGACCTTTTATAACAGAATTTTCATAAAACAATTTTCAGAAAACTAAACCAAACATATTTTTTTTGTACAGTTTTTTGAAAACAGAATTCTATTCTTAGAGTTACAAATCAAGCAGACTAGGTTTTTGTACAATTTTATATTTTTAGTTTTCTAAGAACAAAAAACTGTTTGCATAGTTACAAATCAGGCAGACCCCTTGTTTCTTACTCATTGTAATTATTCTCATTAATTTGAAAATTAAAGTTTGATATATTATGATTGTACTCCTAATAGTTAAGAACTTATTCAATATTAATCCTTGAATTAAGATTATCCTACCACTTTAAGAGAAATAGTAATTTTCTAAAATTTAGTGGTAACAGTAAGAATGATTTCGATAGTAGATATTGTAGACAGAATGTCGATAGTTTGGAAGCATTGTATTCACAAAATTTAGTCTATATTCAATATTCAATGTTAATTTCAATCATTTCAAATACGCTACCGTACTTTTCTATTAATTTCTCCTCCAATATCTTCTCTTTAAATTTGTCATCCAACTTATGTAGAAATTTTATTATATATACTGAATTTGTTAGTAATAGAAATTGTTTTACAATGGAATCCACATTATGACATTAAATATTTATATACATATATATTCAAATATTTTTTCCATGCTATGTGCCTCGTGTAGTTTTTAGTTTTCGACGTGATATTGACTATTTTGGACTGCCATGTATTATAGGATGCAATTGATAATTCAAGTCCTTAATAATTAGTCTTTATGTAGAATTCCTTTCAATGGTGAGTCACGAAAACTCTTTTTTTTTTTTTTTTTAATAAAAAAATAGAGAGCTTTCAAATGATGTGTTTTTATTGATTTGAAGTACTGCACAGTAAAGTAAGTCTTGCAAAGTATTCTATGATTTTTCGTTATTCATATGCTTTTTCACAACTATGACCCTTGTCAATAAAGTCTAATGTAATGCTTACCCGTTATTTAAAAATTTAAATAATTAAGTAGTATTACATACTCATTTATCTTTATACACTTCAACTCTTATCCAAATTTGATGTGAGACAAATTGTACTTGTAACATTCTTCCACATTCGAACCCGCGCAACGTCCTCGTTGCGATCGGACCACACTGTTCATTCGGGGACAAATCCAGAAGCCTTTTGGGTCGGGCACTTGGCGTGACACGGGATTAAAGATTGAATTTGTCTCTGATAGAATACTAATTGTAAACGGTGGATGCTTGTTCATTTACTCAAAAACTCAAATTATTAAATATTGTTATATATCCATTTATTTATACACACTTCAACTTCAATCTAAATTTGACGTAGGACGAATTTCACTTGTAACACCTAACCATTAGGCTGTAATATAATGGGCAATGAAGCATGGTTACCGAAGAGATTGAACACAGAACAGGGGCTCTGAATGTGTTCTCCCCTCCCCCGCCCCCCCCCCCCCCCCTTCTCTCTCTCTCTCTCTCTCTATATATATATATATATATATATATATCTCACTTTTGAATAAACGTGGGAACTCCTTTTGGCCGAGGAAAGAAAACTATGTTAAAGTAGTTCAACTGTGCTGGGGCTGCTTGGCATATTACTCATTATATTATCAAAATTGTTATAATTAATTGATTTAGGATGTAAATTCATGTTAATATAATTTTTGTAAAGCCCTTTTTTTGTGGGGTTTGTGAATCATTCTCGAAGAAGTTATGATTGTAAGCATGTTAATATTTTTTTTATGTTGCTACTTTATTTAGAGGGCAACAATTATTCCAATTGGAGGTTCTTTTGAGTAGTGGGCAGTGTCCTTGGTCAATAAAAGAATGGAAATGGAAATGGAAAAGGAAAAGGAAAAGGAAAAGGAGAAGGAGAAGGTGGAAAGAAGTGGAAATACTCCCTTAGACGGTGGTTGTACATTGCACAAGCACATCCACTTTTTAAGGTAAGCTATGACATCTATGTTTGACCTAGGCAAGACTAAAAAGTATTATTGTTTATTTTTTATTTTTTTCGATCACATCAAGAGCGAAATTATTAAATAGTCATGAACTATTAACACGGTCTAATCTAAACTTTTTCTATTATAAAAAATAAACTCACAAAAGTATAATATATTACAAACAAATATCAACATTACTTTTGATTATTATAATTATTATTATTTTACAATTGATTAAACTGAATCACCAAGTTAACAAAGGTCCAGAACCATCTAATATTTGTATTAGATCAATAGTTTGGTGGTATAAGGCTATAAGCAAATAGTGAACTAAACTGAAATTCCATTTTTTTTTTTTTTTTTGTGTTCTAGCAAATAACTTTTGGAGAGACTTGACATACAAGTTTGAAAATAAAAGGGATATTACAAGACCACATGTCTTAGCGATGAAATAAAATATCTTGAAAACACGTACTAACATGTTATCTCCGTTCCAAAATAATTGTTTATTTTGAGAACCGTGATGAACAACTATTTTGAAAAGGAGAAAAGTGTTAATAGGATTTGGATGATCATTGATCAATTATTCATGTGAGATATTTGATGGTGTCAACATTTAATGTGCTCAAAGGAAAAATAATTTTTGCATCAAATAGTTACAATAAATTGTTAAATTTATTATTTTAATTAGTCAATTATATAATAAATAAAATAATAAATAAGAAAATAATCCTTTCATTAATTTATATTTAAGTATAAATAACCAATCAAAATTCATTCAATTATTTTGGATCCAAATATCAACACTCTTTCCAAAATTTGACACCTCAATCATAGTTTTGTTAAAACAAAGTGGTTTTAATTGTGCCTCTTAAATCTCATAGGCCGTTAGGCCCCACAATTTCATCGTCATCTACTACTCCTTTGATCATTCATGTGCCAAAGTAATTTATTATTATTATTATTATTATTATTATTTTTTACTTTTGTCATTCAAAAGCACAAAAGGGAAATCAAGATAACAGTAAAGAAGCACAAAAGCAAAAGCAAAAGCAAATAAATAAATAAATAACAGACTCTAGATTTGTAAAGGAAACAGAGCCCAATCTTATGTAAACCGAATCACCATGGAAGAAACACGGCAACCACTCAAAAGTTACAACCACAAGTCGCTCTAATACCTAAGAAACCCTGCACAAGATCAAATCAAGGAGAAAAAAATTAAATCGAGACGAGGAAAACCAAAAGATACCTAGACCAGAGATTTAATCGGAGAAAACAACAGATTCGCTCATGTAATTCGAAAACGAACTGAAAATGAAACAGATCTAACCAAAGAAAATAAAAAGGGCGTAAAAAACACACACAAAACACACTTATTAAAATATGTTGAGTTTATTGCAGTCACGGGAAGCGAGTTTCATCTCGCCACTCTCATGGAAAGAAGCAGGGAGGCAGAGTGAAAAAGACAAGCTGCTAGAGAGAGAAAGTTAGAGAGAGGTGGGAGAGAAAGTTGGGCGGCTGATCTACGTGCCAAAGTAATTGACAAGTTGCCTTTAATCATAGTTTCCAAGTCACTAGCAATATATATGTATATATAACCGTTGAAATTTGGTGGCTTCAATGATTTACTTGAAATTCTTAGACAAGTG